ACATACAGATTGTACCTACCAAATGTGAATTTATAAACCACCGTCATTGAGCCGCTATCGCCCCGAGAGTCGAACACGTCAGGGGGGTCGTGGACCACTCAAATTTTCTTTTCTTTTCATTGATGATCTTTAGAGGCTTTCGAATGTCCTGATCAACATGGGAAAGGTTTCCGGTCTTGTTTCACACTCCAATGACTCCGAATCAACACGATCGGTGCAAATTCCCACCAATGTGAGATGAAAAGTGAAGAACAGATCATGTGTCTCAATCGATAAGGTCCTCATCAGAATCGGATGACACTGCCGAAGACTCATCGCTTGAAGGAAGTTTCGTTCGCTCAGTCGTTGAGGAATTTCAAGCGGCTAAAGTTGTTCACGAAGTTTTGAAACTCCCTTTACTGCGTTCGCTTTCGTCACCAGAGTTGAAGAGTTCATCGTTTACATACGAATTCGGGTAGGAGTGTACAGAAAACAATAAGAATTTCGCAAAGTTTTCTCGGAATTTTCATATTGTCACCAACACGTTCATATTTTCCCCTCATATTGGACTGCCAGGTTCAAGAGTGATTCAGAATTTCTCAAAATTGTTCACCAAGGCGATCGTGCTTAGTTACTTCAAGAAGGACATGTATGACCTGTTGAACGGGACGCCATACAGACCTCGCAATGCCTGGTTAATGGTAGGAGGCCCTGGAGCTGCATCCAAGTGGCATGTTGATCCTAATGCTACTCACGCTTGGAATGCAGTAGCGAGAGGAAGCAAACGATGGGTAGTAAAAAAGGGGGTAAAGGTGGTTATATTAACGGGTAGTAGTACGTTAGTGGAGAGTTTTATATTCCTTCGTGTTGGCTTCGTGAAAATTGACTTCGACCGACTCAACAGTGTCTACCGATTTAAACGCTTCGAGTGTCATCTCAATGAGAAGGCTGCATCGTGACGCCAGTTCAGCGTCACTACTGTTTCCAATCATGTTCATGCGTACACATTTTCAACTGAGCATTGATCCTCGTAAGTTGTACTGAGATTGGACGATCGTAGCCATATCTTGGCTCACGTTTGTTGGGTTGTCTCAATGCCCTAACGAATCTGAGAGTCTCCAACCTGCAACTAGCATGGAAAGTCTCTGCGCGGCGCGCACATTGAAAGGGAGTCCGTTCACAAAAAGCACTTAGTTGTACACGCTAGTCGGCATGAGAGTTGGAAGGAGGTCTTGTGAGAGTCAGAAGAAACGAGTATCTTTTTGATGAAAAGGGTGGGAATTTCTGCGTGGCAAATATTAAAAAATTATACGCCGTGGAGTCTGGAAGAACTGTTTACGAGGAGCACACTAGAAAATGGTAAAAATCTCACAAGTAGGTCTTGTGAAGGTCAGAAGCAACGAGTGCTGCGAAGGGGGTTGCCGACGTTTAGTGTGGAGAAATGAGCACATGGTCAACTATATGTGTTGGTGAAATCGTGGAATTTTTGGGAGAATCTTGGGGGTTTTTGAAAACTTTTATCCGAATTCGTATTCAAACTCCTGAGCTCAGCTGACGAAAGCGAACTTATATTCCTCTAACGCTTTTCATATCAATCGGCAACAACTTCACCTCCGTAATGGTTGTGTATGTCTACTGCATATCGTTCTTCAGTTTATGCTACCTCCGAGCTGTATTCCGGTTGGAGTGTACCCTTCTGGTGATGGCTCTAACATGACGCAACCTGTGTCCCTACTTCACGAATGGTGGCCTAGGTGGGTAGCTGTTGCTATCTTTTGCGTAGCAAACCGAATCTCGAACGTGAACGTGAAGTTTACCTCTGCTGTATCACGCGAATATACACTAGTAGTAGATCTAAGGAGTGTGGAGTACATTGCTTTGAAATTGTCTTAAAAAGTACCCCCTGTTAAGTTCTTTAGGAAAATTCGAAAAATCAGCGTTTATTGTTATTGCATTTAGTAATATTTCTATCGCTGTCCAGAAAGGATGGAAACATATGAATAGGAAGCTTTTGATTCTTGACATTCTCGTGTGAAACTCCGAATATCGATTTTTCATATATTTAATCCTCCCGAATGTTTGTACAGTACGCGCCATCTAAAGAACCGGAATGGTTGTGCAAGGGTAACTTCTACAAAAAGTGAGTTTTGTTGCTTGACATTTTCTCGTATATTACTGATATATATACGTATTGCTTAGGAGGGGACAACACTCGATTGTCGAAAAAATGTGAAAGTTAAGAAAATTCTCTAAAAATACCTACCTCGCAGAAAACCATTCCGAACTGAAGTAGTTTTTGCTCCCTCAATAGATTCTTCGAAGAGACCGAAGCTCTGTACGGCGATAAGCTGCTACAAGGGACCTGCAAAGCTGGAGAGTGCATGTTTGTTCCGAGGGGGTGGTGGCACTGTGTTATTAATAATGACGACAATGATGACATCACTATCGCAAGTAATACAAAACATAGGGTGTCACTGAACTCCTAGAGCTCAGTGCTGGAGGGGTGGATTTTTTTTCTTTTTTTTGTGTTTTTTTGTTCTCCCATTTTTGCTCCTCTATTAGTAGGGCCTTGTAATAGAGTTCGCACATACATGCGCTGTTATTCGTTGAAAATTCGTTTTAAATACTCCGCTCGCTCTGTAATCACTAGACACAGATATGAAACGAAGAAATACGACTTAGGTATTACTATTGGAGTTGTGAGACCTGTGTGTTTGTGAGTCGCCGAAAATTTCATCGATTTATATTGTCAGTTACTCAGAACTACTGTGCAGAATCGAGCGTTCACAAAGCGCGGCGTTTCTTCCGGGAAACTCCTCATTGTATATCGGGTCTTCTCACCCACGATTGCGATGAGTATGAGAAGTTGCAAAACGAGATGGCTGATGAGTTTGATAAACGGCTGAGGGAAAAGCGTCCGGATTTACTGGCACGAGACGATGTAGTGTGGGCGAGAGCGGTATGCGTGTGTTGATCAAACGGTAAAATTTTGTAGTATCATCATTGGAGTTCACCCGTGATACAAAATTTTCATTTCACTTCGCGAGAAAACGCATGTGAAGAGTGGATAACGCGTAGAACACATATGACGTTCCACGTGCAATGGGGTCATTTGGTCGGTGTGATTCTCCGAGTATTTTCAATTCACTTCATATCGCGAATATCGCGTTTTTCACCGAGGGGTCGTTCAATAAACCGATTTCGAAACTCAGAATCGTTTCCAGAATTGCCTATTACACGTAAAATACGATGCTAGAATCGATTCTGAACTCCACAATTGATTCAATGAGCATGGGGAGAGTGTCACGCCACTTCACGTAGAAGGGGTGGAACTCCAATGATCATGGGTGGAAAATTATTGGAGAAATGAGTATGATGATGTGAAATGAAATAATAATAGAAATAATTATTGATTTAATGATGATAATGGAAAATACCATTATAAAGGAGTTTAACCCGTTTAACGTGAAGTGGCGTAATACTCCATGTAGATTCTGAGGCGTATATGTTTCCATAACCGATGACACAATTGTTTCTCGCGAAGTGAAATGTGAAATATGTTTTTCACTA